TTCAAAGCATCAATTCCTACTTTTTGAGTCATTCTAGAGTCAATTTTTCTTACTCAAATATTTGTTTGAAACTCTACAAGAATTAATTTTGATTGAGATCGAATTAGTTTTTTGAAACACTTGCAAGAAAGCATTGATTGAAAAAAAGCAAGAGTGGTGAAACTAATATAGGGAAAAAACCAATTTGAGTAATACACGAGCGTATACACGTGAGACAAATATTAAATTAGAATTAAGATGTCAAATAGAGACGACTCTACTTCAAACAGGAATAAGTGTCAAGTCAACATGTCGAATGAGGTGATACGACAGTTCAAATGGTGGTTTGAAGATGTAAAAGATAGATTGGATCGGCAAGACACATTACTTGCTAACTTACGTAGGGAACAACTTAAAGATATTCCTAACGCAAGAAGGTAAGGAAGACGAGATCATCGAGCTAATTTTGCTAGCGAATGGGATGCTGATGGTGACATTAATGAGGATGCATTGGTGGATGTCGAGTTAGGAAGAATGATAGATAGACGAGTTATGAATGAAGTAGGGGTAAAGACCTTGTTGGAGATGGTATTGATAGAAGTATGAGTAATATCAAAATGACAATTCCTTCATTCAAATGAAGAAGCGATCCAGAGTCATACTTGGAGTGGGAAAACAAAGTAGAATTAATGTTTAATTGCCACAACTACTCGGAGGAAAAGATGGTAAATATTGCAATGCTTGAATTTACCGATCATCCTACCAATTGGTGGGATCAAGTAATAACATCTAGGAGGAGGAACCGTGAGATGCCTATTAATACATGGGAAGAATTGAAGGCTATCATGAGGAAGAGATTCGTGCCTAATCATTATTATAGAGAGCTTCATAAAAAATTGCAAAGCCTTTACCAATGTTTTATGAGTGTGGAAGATTATCACAAAGAGGTAGAGATTGCTATGATTAGAATGAATGTTGAGGAGGATAGGGAGGCCACCATGACCCAATTTTTGAACGGTTTGAATATGGAGATAACTAATGTAGTAGAGTTGCAACATTATGTGGAGTTGGAAGACAAGCTACATGTAGCTATGAAGGTGGAAAGACAATTGAAGAGGAACGGGACAACTAGATATACATTGGGTTCTTCGGGTTCTAACTCCTCTAGGAAATCGAAGTAGGATGTTAATAAAGGTGACGAGACTATTTCGAGTAGTAAGACCAAACCACCAAGGGAAAATGATGAAGTTATTAGCAAAATTACACCCAAAATGGATTCCTAAGCTTCTAAGACATGGGATATCAAATACTTTAGGTGTTTGGGATTGGGGAACATTGCTTCTCCATGTCCAAACAAAAGGGCAATGATCTTGCGTGACAATGGATAAATGGTGAGTGATAGTGATGGTGATGATATGCCCGCGTTGGAGGAAGCTAATGAAGGTGATGGAGTAGAGTACCCGCTAGGAGGTGCGTTACTTTTGGTGATGCGTGTTCTTAATACATAAATTAAATTGGATGATGTGGAGTAGCAATGTGAGAACATCTTTCATACGAGATGCTACATCAACAACAAGGCATAGTATGATTATTGTGGATGTAGTTGTATTAATGTAGCCAGCACTACACTTGTTGAAAAGTTGGGATCAGCTATGCTAAAACATCCTAAGCCTTTTAAATTGTAGTAGTTAGTTGAATGCGGAGAGGTTAAGGTGAATTTCTCAATTGAGAGGTATAGTGTTGAAGTGATGTGGTTCCTATGCATGTTGGGCACATTTTGTTGGGAAGACCATGACAGTATGATAAAAAGGTTAAACAAGATGGACTCAAGAATAGGTAGAACTTTGTAAAAGATGGGAGAACTATTACCTTGTACCATTAACACCACAATAGGTCTATGGGGACCAATTGAGATTGAGAGGTGGGGAAGAAAAGAAAAACAAAGAAATACAAAAGGAGATTATGAGAAATTATAATGATGTGGTTTATTGTGGGGAAAAAAAAAGCAGAGCCAAAAGAGAGAAGAGAAAGAGAGTCTATTGAGAGGAGAGAAAAATAAAAAGTGAGTTTCTATACAAAAAAAAGTGAGATTGAGAGAGCTTTAGTGAGAACTAACAAACCCCTCCCCTGTTTGGATATTTCTTTATTATAGGAACTCAAAGACTCGTTCCTGAAGACTTATTTAGTGGGATACCACTCATTGAGTACCCAATTGATTCGATACAAGTGGAGAATTTATTGAACATTGAATGAGAAGCATTCCACTATGACATGGTAAAGAATCAATACCCCATACATTGATTAGATGATGGTCTAACATGTAGTAATATTTTTTCACATGGGGGATGAACTTTTACACATATTAATGCATCTAATATTTATATGAGAGTAATAAGTTATTTTTCATATGCATTCATATGCAAACAATTATTACTAGTTAATGATATTCTAGATATTGCAAGAAATTAATTGAGCATGATAGACATTTGAGGTCCATTATTGGTGATTTCAGGCATGAGAATTTATATTTTAATTTTGAAGTCCTTAACTATTTTGGTTCGACTTTATGAAATATGTTGAGAACCCATTTAGTATCTTCTACTACTTCTCTTACACATTTTGATATGGTTTATGATTTAAATCTGTTAACTTTGTTTGGTTTGATTCCTTTAACTAATATTGTAAGTGGTAGCTTAGATGGAAAGTATGAGATTGAATTATATGCATCTCAAGGCAGCAAAAGGAAGAAGCGTAAAATATTCAAACCAGGTGATTAGGTTTGGGTGATTAGGAAAAAACAACTTATTCGAATGCAAAAGAAATCAAGATTACATTCTAGAGGAAATGGACCATTCCATGTCACTGAAAAAATTGAAATCAATGGCTACAATTTGGATCTTCAAAGTAAGTTTACGATCATTTGTATTTTAAATGTCTATGATCTTTCTCTCTTTGATGTAGGTACAGATTCGAGGTCGAATCCTTTCGAAAATGGAGGAGATGATGTGATCCAAGGAAGGCAACAAACTATCGGGGGTTCGATGTATGTTGAAAAGAGGTTAAGGGCAAATTCGAGATTAAATAGAGTTAATGAATCCATGAAATCAATCGTTCAAGCTATGGAGTCCAAAAGGGTGAAGTTAACAAGCCAAAAACCAAATTCTATGTTGGGCATGGGAGCGGAAACAAGTTGGAATGATTTAGAATCAAGAACTCAAAACATGGAGACAAGACGAACTCCTATGCAACCGCATAGTACAAAACTGGGTGCAATCGCACTGCTATGCAACCGCATAGTACAAAACTGGGTGCAATCGCATGCCTATATATCGGATCAAAATTGAAGGCTGTCAATTGACCTATGCAACCGCATGCAGAAGCCTATGCGGCTGCATAATGTAATTCTGGACGCGAATTTTTCAAATTTCGCGTAATTTTCTACTTTAGTTAAAGCTTTATTTTGTAATATATTTTGTTATTTATAGAGTTTAATTCCATTTTCTAACTAGGTTTTATGTGTTCCCTATAAATAAGACTCATTTTATTCATTGTAAAACACACAATTTGAGAGATTTACTATAATGCATATTGTTTTCTTTTCATTCGTCATTGAATTAATTGTGAACTTATCAAAATTATTTCTTGTGGCGTTCAAATAAATCGAGTGAGATTCTTGAATCTTGTAATCACGGTGTCAACATATTGTCCGCAATTGTGTTGATTTCTTGATTTAATATTTTTGAATCAAGCTTAAACGTTGATTTCTTAGCTTTCTTGGGTTGAATTAATCTTGTGTATGTTTTGTAACTACCAATGCCACGTGGATTCACATCAAATACACTATAATAGGGGATACCTAATAACTGTACAGGATAAGTTATGTAACAAGATTCAATAAAATTTAATATAATGTAGTCCTATTGCATTTCATCTTATTACCAACTATAAAGAAACATGGACCAAATTCTCATAAATACAACCTAGAAATTAATTTCAATTGCAAGTCATTTCGACTTTTGACTTCGGGTATTTGCAAGATTTTCTAAAATTTTGGACTAGTTTGCAAAAACTAATCAAAATATTTTGCATTTTACGGGGCTTATACAAACTTGAATATCAATTTAATACTTGGAAGAATTGTGAGATTATTATTTAGATTTTTGAGCTCTGCTGGAACTTAAACGAACATTTTGTGACTTGAATTTATTTTTTGACTTCCAACTTAACCAAATCAACAAAACTAGACATTAAATTAGACTAAATTTTAGTTTGAGTAAAAGTTTAGATGGAAAACATCTTAAAATTCGTGTGGGGCTCAGTTGAGTATAACTCAAGTTTGAACCCGACGTTTGAAAAGCTTACGAGTATGCTCAAGTTACAACGATTCAAGTCTTGTGAAAATGCTTCTCTCTTAATTTAGTCAACTGAAAGGAAGTTAAAATCTTGTTCAAGTACATTATCAATTTATGATCATGTTAGTCAAAATTAGTTTGGTCGAGTACAAAGTGATGCAAGACCATCAATTATTATTAAAAATAAAAATATAAAAAGTGATACAAAACAAGTTATACCAATAGAGAACATTTGATCACTTATAATTAGCACAATTGCACAATGAAAGAGCAAAAGAACTTGTAGATACAAATGTTGCTGCAAGCCAATAGCTTGCATGTTTCTGATTAGAGAAATTTGCACATGGACTAATTTGTGTATAGTCTCAATGTGCATTCTAATCCCTCCTTTGACCCCCAAACTTTTATATTATTACAATTTCAGCCCAAAATAGTACAATAATAACTATTTTATATACATTATCTCCCCTGCAATCATCTTGAAAATTTATATGGGCTTTGGACCAGATGGTGTGTTGCATATATGTACAACTTCAACCCCAGCGAAGCCAAAGAAATGGTTGAGATGAATTCGGAAGTCCACTGCTACCTCAAGAAGAGAACAGCCGCTCGTGTCAAGTGGAAAAAGAACAGAGGTCGAACCCTTCAATGCCTAGGCTTGGCCATAGATTAACTGCAAATGGCCTCAACGGAAACTTTCTTCATAATGTTTGGACATGGATCTCCTCCAAAGATCTCGGGTGTTACAGGTACGGCGCAAGATTGTTGGCCAACACAATACTGCAACATTAAAACAAGCAGCGGTGTAAAAGTCAATCCATATGTCAGATGCGAAGAAGTATTTTTCAAAAAATGTAACCCGATAACCCAGTCAACCAGTGAATGGTTTGGTTTTCATCTTGAGTTTTAATATGTGGTTTTAAGATATAACTAGATTGATTTTCATGTTGGTTTCTGATTTTTCCGGTTGAAACAAGCCAGGCCAGTTCTTACAACATTGCTTTACTGCAGGAATGAGTAATTTCATGTAAGATCAGTACATACCCGCTCAAAAACATCATAGGAATGAAATGCATGACAACTTCCCTCTTGGAAGTTTCCACAGACCCCCTCGGGTGTTCCAAAGCTAGCAAATTTGATAGAAGAGATCTTCTGACCGGGATCACATGAGAGGTGAACTTTCGGCCTCAATGGTTTGTTGACTTTTCCCGATGCTTGCATCTGCCAATTCACTAACATTGGCTGCCATTCAAATATATCTGCACATACGCTTGCTAATTCTCTTTTTACCAAAGAGATCCCATAAGGATTTCCTCCCCATTCTTCAAACACGACCAACAAATTTCCTGTTGAATAGAGCCAGGACCGAGGAATGTGATACCTAGAAAAAATCGTTCCTTGTTTAGTCGAATGTGTTTTATCTAAGAGACAATGGCCTGGAAGAATGTAGATTTTCTCACCATCTCTGAGAAGCCTCCCCACAATTGCTTAGGCATTTTTTTTCATTGAACCAACCGGAATAATTACAGGCATCACAGCTGCCAGATGCTTTGTACTGATTCCAATAACGTCCAATACTTTGGCCATTTATCCACACCTGGCCTTTACTCATGGTATTCATGTCTAAAGCCAAAGGCTCATCCCCATCTGGAGCATTGAAAGTCGACTGGAAAAAAAAAAGAAGAACAAGTCAGTAGAGAATTGGCTAGGTAGCTTCAGTAAAAATGCAATCAATCAAAAATTTCGTTGCGTTAAAAAAGGAAGAAAAAAAAAGAAATGAATATTCATGATTCAGTCGCTGCAAAAGACTGCATCCTCTAATTGAGCATAACTCACTCACCTTGTACCATGTTAAGGGCTGCTTTTTAGCAACATAGGAACCTTCAACCCATTCAACAGAAGAGCTTCTACTGAGGGAATGAAGACTCAGAGCTTCTCCTTTTAGACCAACCTGTCCAGAACATAGTGGAAATTTTAGAGATGAAGAATGTTAGCAATGAGAATGTTATTTGAATTCCTGAAACTTACCTTGTAAGACCATTTTTGCCACGTCAAATCACGTTTCCCCTCATTAAGCCCACCGAGTGAAACTGGGCCAAGAACACCAGCATTCCAAGTTTCGAAATGAGGACCAACATTCTGAGCTCATGCGAACGAAGAAGCATGTACAAGTGTATTATCATCCACTCAATGTCTAATAGTATCAAACTGGGATTTCCTTGAACTAATCCGTATTCTAGAAAAAAGATAATGTGCATGCATGGATGCCCATGTGTGCCACGCATGCGCACGTGTGTGTGTGTGTGTGAGAGAGAGAGAGAGAGAGAGAGAGAGAGAGCAAACCGGGAGACCAACAGCAATACTCAGCAGAGAAATTTTGTTGACTCCGACTCTCAGATTTACACCTTGACTAAAAGTTAATTTGGGATTTTCTAGACTTCCATAACAAGTTCCTGCAATTAAAAAAAAAAAAGATAAATACAATAACGAAATGTTTAGCAGCAATCAAACAACTAAATATTAATGTCTATAGTACAAGCAGCACCTAAAGTAGCTTTGATTTTGTCAGGAAGACATTTATATTATTTTACACATTGTTATTCTACTAATAACCCTGATCCTATTATTCTTGGTAAATAAAACATGAATAAAATCCCTAAAATTGATCCTCCAAGAGGAGAAAAATATACTTCTGTGGTGATTTCGGAAGCGATTACACTAACTTCTTCAGGCAGATGTTTTGAAAGATTACGGAGATCAGAACTTAATAACATTAATCAAATAAAGTACATCGTTTAGTGACCAGTAATTGCATCAAATGAGAACTAAAATTGTTAGGGATGTAAATAAACACTAACCTGATAATTGACCATCAATGAAAACATGCAGAGCATGGCCTGCAGATAAAACTGTAAGAACAGGCAACTCCCCACCTCTTAAGAATTCTTCACTATCGTCGATCTTCACACTGAGTAAATAAACAAAGAAGGAAAAGGAAGACGAAAAATGGAAACAGGTTATAATTTTATTTCCAGGAATGATTTATTTTTTCATGCATGCAAGGTTACTTGAAGTTACATGAGCACTTACTCTGTCGTATACCACAAATAATCCGTCTGATCTCTGGTAGTATTAATCTGCTCTAATAGTCCAATCGTAGTAAATGAATTGTCTTCATATGATGGTGCTGTCTCTTCATTGTACGACTGCCAAGAAAATTCCGAACCAACGGGGGTCATCTTCATTTGTGCACTTTGTGCTCCAACCTTCATGAGAAAACTCATATTGATTCATTTTTTGTTTATCACATAATAATTAAAATTACTTGTGCTTTTTGAAGGACCTTGAGACACCTTTCCAGTATAAAAAACTAAAATAGGTGATTTAATGAAGAAGGCTTTTCTCACCCTTGCTGTGTTAAAAACTGTGTTTTTGCAATCAGGAAGGATGCTGATGGACCATGGAGGCAAATTGTAATGCATATTCCCAAAGGACACCTTTGCAAATGAATGCTCTTTGTAGTTTGCAAGAAAAGCAGCACAACTGGACTTTGATTTGAAAACATGAGCCTAAGCAACAAAGCAAAGGTATAGTTTAAAACATTTTCATCTTTGACAAGGGTCATATATTTGAGACAAAAATAACTGTATCCAACCTCTTGATAGTTTCCAAGTGGTGTAACAACAGCACAAGCAGATAATAAAGCCGGCTCACACAGCTTTATTGCTCTATGAAGATCTTTCAGATGACCCCATTTGGGTTGCCTTAACAATCCTGGACATCAGAAAGAAAAAGATACCTTAGGCTCATGAGCACGCAATTCTTTAGAATTTTTTTTAACCACACCTGTGCATCACTGAAGCAATAGGAAATGATCAGTGTCATTGGGCTTTTTAAGGACATTCGAATTATAGCATGAGATCAGTTGTCTTGTGAAAACAAGGACCTGCTTGTGGTACGTAGTTTATCTACATGAGGTGCTTGTATGTATATTAACCACCTTTTGCCTCAAATTTTTCAACAATACTTCCGCCTGAGTTTTCATATAGCTATCAAATGCGAGGTCCATTCTCTAAAATCAATTTGTCATCATTTGTGACCATCACAATCCACAAATCCAGTAATATTAAGGTGATGACAGCAACTTAGTAAAATAAAAATTGCTTGTGTCTGATATGACAATCCACGTTGGACCACTTGTGGATCCTCCTTGAATTAGTCAAAGGGGACTTTTTATCCAAAGCAAACAGAACAGTACGGGAAGCCGGCCCAGGGCCCACCCCTCAAGTTGGACCATGGGAGACGTCATCTGGAAATACCGTGACTCGACTCTAAAAGTGTTTCCCTGGAAAGCAGCATAGTCCCCGTCAACCAATTAAAAGAAAGTTGTCACAGCCTAAGGCAGAGCCCTATAACCTAATCGTCATGATATCTTTGTCGTTAGCGAACTCTCAAGCCAATCAAATCTCTCCAAATAATACAGATAGATGCCTAAGTCGGACACTGTAGCTTGACATGAGTAAGACGGCAAGTTGGTAGCTCATATAAGAGGATAAAAGCAGAACGAACTAGGCCGAATTGTCTTGAAATCTTTCAATATTAATTACACTAAAAGCCTAGCGGATTTCATTTTTATCAAATTCTATCAAATATTATATAACTATTTTGTTAAAATTTCTCTAAGTTGATCTAAAGGTGCTTCGTCATTTTTAGTCATCAACATTCACCATACCTTTTTTTGTCAAACAACAGAAGCAGCAAAGACGTGGCAAAATATGTTATTCACAAAACACGGGAGGCATCATGCATGTTATGATGAACATATCATTTTAATGCAAAACAATCTTAGGAGCCTTATTCCGTGTGCATACCATACTCATCAAGAGGTGCGTCGTAGTCATAACTAGTTGCAATAAATGGACCACCAGCAGTCCTGCCAAAGTTTGTTCCTCCATGAAACTGATCAAAAGGAAAGAAGAAAGACATTCAGCAAATCTACTACCAATTTATTTCAGTAATAAATTCATTGAACAGTCAGTTTACCATGTAATAGTTAATGAAAGAACCCCCCTTCTGTATGAATTTTGCAACAGAAAATGCCATATCTTCAGCTGGACGGTAAGGAACTGGACCTCCAAATTCAGTAAACCTATAACGGATGTTGTATAAGGATAATAGCTAATATTATAGAAAAAATCTTTCCGAAGAATATTCTGTTCCTAATAAGAAAGTAAAGATGCAAAACGTCAATCAAATTGCCAGTTGTAAGACCAGGTCAAAAGTTACCAGCCAGTCCAGGCTTCAGTCCACATCTTTGGTTTATAAGCCTTATTGGGAGAGAAGTCGTCACAATAGAAACCATTGCAGGTATTGATCTGGACAATGAAAACACAAGTTAAAGTAGGATACTAGATTTATCTTTGCAAGTATAAGATCGCAGAACTATAAGAATATTTTAGATTTCAGCTTCATGTAGTTACATTATTTTTTCACTTTTACTTCCTTTGACAGGATCTAATTGAAAAATATTATTTAACATGATAAATTGCAATTGAAAGTTGAAAGACATGGAGGCATGGCCTTTATTCAGTCATAGGATTCAAAGGCATCTGATTATATAATAATAGACAAAGTAAAACAGATTGGCGTGAGAAAGTGAAGAAGCAAAGCCAGGTGCAGAGGTAACCAGAATTCAAATATTATTAATGAGCATATAAGAGGACAAGCCACTGTTACACAGGACGCCCACTAAGGATGAGGGAACACAATACCATAACCATTAAAATAGAGAATACAAAGAAAGAGACAAATCGCAAAAAATGATGCTGATAAAAGTGATGGTACTCACAATGGGATCTGGGGCATCATCTTGCTTGCACATGACCCATGGGACACCAGTGCCAAGATCGACAGCCATTTTGGCCGCCCATTCTGTGTAAGCTCTACTGGGTGAACCTAGTTCGTATTCCACAGGTCCATACTCGTTCTCAATCTGTCACATACACAGATTTGCGTTCTATTTGCTTTACATGTATCGAATATCTTGTAAATATTATCGAGGCATGGGCTTAAAATTGGAATTTGGAACATGGGAACAGAGAATGAAATGGATTACCTGAGACAAAATAATTGGACCACCCTGAGATTCATACAACTTTTCCGCTTTCATCATATTCACAATTTTGGTTGTGAATTTTTGCATTGCAGCCTTTTGTCGGAAAAAAAAATTTCAGACCAGAATTTGGAAGCACATAATTAGAAATCAATGGAATAAAATATATAGAAAAGAATTCGACTAAAATGGAAACTCAAATGTCAATACGTTACTCAACTAACCTTAAAAGGTTCATTATCTGTTCTGAAACTAATCCCAGGAACGTACTTCAACCAAACTGGAAAACCCCTGAAATTGAAACAGGAAAAATTCTCAGGAAAAAAAAACCGAAAAAAAATTATTTTTCTTATTTAAATAGAAAATTCCTTTCGCATTTTCTAAAATTACCCAAAGTTCCATTCAGCACAAGCATAGGGACCAATTCTGAGATGAACATAGAGCCCCGCTTTCTGTACCGACTTAATAAACTTCACTAAATCATACCTCTCTTCAAAATAATACTACAAAAAAACAGAAAGTTTCAGTAAATAATTCCTTAAAAAATTGAAAATATTCAGTAAAAATGCTAAATAAAATATTTACTTTTCCAGGTTCAGGTTCATGCCCATTCCAGAAAACATAGGTCTGAATCACGTCCAACCCTCCTTCTTTTGCCTTCTGAATAAGATCTGGCCACATCTGCACTACCCAAAAAAAAGTTCAAAGAAAAAATTCAAGAAATATTCTGTGAAGTACATTTTGCATGACTATACCTCAGGAGTGCTTCTTGGGTAGTGAACGGATCCAGATATAAGAATCCTCCTTTGCCCATTTACATTAATGGCCTTATTGTCATACGAAACAGAGGCTTCCCCACAAAAAACCCATGAACTCAATAACACCATAACAACAAGCAAAACTGAACTGCACATTGTAATTCTGAAACCCATAATGCTAAAACCCGTCCTCTGTTTTCAATATTTTAACTTTACAAAGCAAAAATCTTTATTCTTTGATTCTGCTGCTTCTTTCACCCTTCCAGTTTATACCATATTTGTTTAATTAAACAGCTGTTTCGCTTTTATTTTCAAGATTTTTTTATCTTTTCATTTTGCAATCATACACCATCTCTTACATCATTTCTTACTTTCCGTCACATGATATCATCTAATTGGATATATATATATACAGAGGCAGCAGAAACACAAAAAAACAGATACTGACAGCAGGGGATAGGTGGGTTTTTTTTTTCAATATTTTACTCGCATGGGGTCCACCCCATGTGAGTAATCTGTTGGATTTCTAGAAATGGTCCAAATGGATTTGCTCGAAACGCAATTGGGACCTGAAAATTCGGGTGCTTTGCAGCCGCATTTAAACACCAAACAAAAAAGATGGGTCGGCTAGCGAGTAAAAGTGGGGCCCTTTTGAAAGACTTTGGGCCCCACAAAAAGGGGTCCCACTTTGTCCTTTACTTCTCCATTTTACCAAACATCCTAGCTAATTTTATTTAAATATAAATAACAAATAGTTCTGTTTTGGCTGTTGTGAAAAAGTGCGCTTTAATGGCTTTAAATGGTTCGTGCACAGAGATTAGCAAGACCATTATTGCTCAAATCCCAGTACTACGGATGTATGGTCGGTTCATATGGTTAGGTTTGTCTTTTGGATTTTCAATTCGGCCTTAGCGCCTCATTCATTTTTCATATTGAAGTATTTAATGTGTGTTTGATTGTGTTTATTTTTCATGGCATATGTCATTTTTTCACTCAAATTTTTATTTTTGAGGTGTTCGATTGACAACTTTTTACATGGAAAATATTTTTCAATTTCTGATCATGTGATCATATTTTCCTCAAAAACAAAGAAAATATTTTCTTTTGGGTGGGATGGTTTTTATTTTCAAGGTAATTCACACGCACACACTCTTTCATCTATCAATCAATAAAAAATAGACAAATTTTTTGTAGGTTGAAAACTAAATCAATCAAGTGTATTTAATTAATAATTTACATACTAATAAGTTCTAGACAATTGAATTGGTTAGAATTTATTTTTTTTCAATGCAAATTTCACGCTACAATCAAATGAAATGAAATGAAATTATAATTAAAAAAATTATTCTCGACTAAGACACTAGAAATATAATATTATCCCTAAATCTAAGTTCTACAATTGAGGTTGAGGTTCAAAGTTGATATATCCCCCCTTCTCATTTGTAAGTAATTTTTTTTTCTTTTAGATATGTTAGTCATGTTATTTTTTTCTTATTTTAAGTTAGAATTACTTAATATTCGTTACTTGAGAAATGAAATCCTCAACACCGTTGCTTATGCTAACTTATGTTGAGAAACAATGACGTGAGCATTAGTTAATAAGTTCATGATAGGTTCTCAGAATTAAATGATCAACCAATTAATCGATTAGTCATCTCACTATCGTTCAGCATAGTAGATCATTTACTTATTTCCTATATTGCACCTAAATAATTATTCTAGATTGACCAATTACTAACCACTTATAAGAAGTGAATCAAGTAGGACCTCAAGAAACATTAATTAGGCACCATATAATTGATTAGCACCCAATTTTTGACTAATCCCCACTAATTCTATCATTGTTTGACCCTACCTTGCTTACGTATTTTATTAAATCTTTAGTAATAGCACTAGTCTAAATAATAGTGGGCCGGTAAAATTCACTCACTTAAAACAATAAACGTCAATAGTGCTCTGTATCATTGTTCGAATCCAACGGTTTTTAAATATTTTAGGTTGAACTTTGCTACTCAAACGGGGCTGGAGACAGGGAAATAAAGCAGGGGTTGATTTGAATCACAACAATTCAAATCAAGGGCTGATGTTTTGTTTCAATTCCCTGTTTACAGCACTGTTTGAGTAGCATTAGTGTTTTAGGTTAGCCTTGAGCACGTAGGGTTCAAGTTTTTTCGTGCACCTCTTAATTGTAATTAATGCCTTAAATTTATAACGATAATCTATAAAGTCAACTCCGACGAAGTGAAAAGGTAAGTAGTCAATAATTAAATCCTAAATTCTAAAATATAAAATTTATTTCTAACAACATAGTTGGATATCTGTCGAGGCTAATACAATCTTTAACAAAAATGTTTCTCAATTCTTTTTATAAATATTTCTTTGAGAATTTATTGTTTTGATATAAAAATGAAGCAAAAGTAGAAAATGTTTAAAAATTATATCTCCAATTGATTGAGACTATTTACATGACTTGGCAAGGGAAAATAGACATTCTTAAGGAGTCTGTCTAGACGTAAAGGCTCGGTCAGATTGATTATTTAACTCGTTTGGTCCTTTTAGAATAGGCATGAGTATTGGTTGTGGACGCCTTTGGAATGAGACATAACGAGATGCTTATCGTTGTCTTTGTACTAAAACGACAACGGAGTTGTTATGATAATTTATCTCTTGTTTTGCACTTTTAACATTTTTAAGTAAGATGCATTGATTCGGCACTGTGGATGAGTTGAAACTATGTAATCTAAGTGGTTGTAGCATAGTACAGCAAACAGGACAACGATAGGACGAATCAACTTTTTAAAACTCATTTGAAGAGCATGAATCAACTTTTTAAAACTCATTTAGCCCATGTTTGGCACCATTTCTTTTTCTCATTCTCATTCGCTTTTTTCATTTCAATCACACAATTTTCAAATAAAATTATATTACACACAAATCTAAAACTTTTCATCACTTTTTCACCACATATTCCCCCGTCAATCACTATTCCAAAAATTTTCAACCCATTAAAATGGGTGTCAAACACTCACTTAGTCATTTTACAGTATTTATAGGCATGGGTATTGCTCGTGCAAACCTTTGGAAACATTTGAGCCACAACAACATGTTTATCGTTATCTTTGTATTGAAACAAGAAGGAAGTTATTATGATAGTTCTCTCTCCTGCTTTGTACATTTAACATTTTGAAGCAAAAGTTTTTTGGTGTAAATAACATTTTAAAGCAAGATATGTTGATTCAGCGCAATGGATACATTGACATTATATAATCTAAGTGATTTTTGCTTACTAAAACAAGTAGGACAACTATAATCCAAGTGATTTTTGCATGTCCGGATTTTTTTGTGTGCGACATGTGACATCTTCTAGAAACTGGTGATTGATCGTTAAACTGCATGTCCAAATGTGTTGTGTCTATTCAAGATGTAACTTTTCAACTTTTATTTTATAGGTCCCATAGACCGGATATTCATTCCAAAATCGTTTTTGATTTTATCTTGTAAAATATAACCCTTACGTCCTGCATTATTCTATATTGTGCATTTTAGTCCTGAATATTTTTTTTCGTGTATTTTAAGTTCTCAAGTTTTAGAGAGATCAAAACATTAGTAGGTTGGCTAGGACTTTTAATTTGGATTGCTATTATTACAAGTCGAGATCGTTGTATGTTGGGAAATGAGTGTATGAAGACTGTCGCACCAGTGCGGGACATTATCGTCTTAAGGAGAAAGAATTGAACTCTTGCCTCGGTAATTATCATTCTGTTTTATACCGTTTATTTTGCAAGTCGAAATTCTGTCCAATTATTTATTCATGTAAAAAGATTATTTTGAATAAAAATTATTACACAATTATATCCATATTTCTCCAACAATTTTAAGACGATAATTCTTGTTTACATGCTAATTATATTCTGAAATTTTATTAGGTTATGGCAAGTAATATTGCATCTGTCGTATCCCCTAATAATGCTCATGGGAAGAAATCGAAAAAATTCACGGGAGTGAATTTTAAGAGATAGCAATAGAAAATGCTATTTTATCTCACAATTCTGAATTTGGCAAAAATTTTAAGCGAAAATGCTCCAACTGTTGAGGAGAAGGAAACAGATCCTAAAAAAGAGCAGCATTCGATGCATGGAATCATAATGACTTCTTGTGCAGAAGTTACATCCTCAATTGCCTTGAAAACATACTTTACAGCGTACATTTTGGTGAACTTAAGTACTGCATTATTCCATAATGTGCATTTTAGTCCCGAATATTATTTTCGTACATTTTAAGTCCTCCAATTTTAGAGAAATCGAAACACTAATAGGTTGGCCGGTCTTGTAATTTGAAGTGCTACTATTACAAGTCGAGGTCGTTGTATCTTGCGAGACGAGTGCCGGAAGACCGTCAACACTAGTGTAGGGTATTACGTCTTAAGGAAAAAGAATCAAACTTTTGCCTCGACCATTAACATTTTGTTTTATTCCGTTAATTATCTAAGTCGAAATTTTGCCCAATTGTTTATTCAAAGCAATTTTGAATATAAATTATTGCACGGTAATATAAATATTTCTCCAACAACAAGGTAGTAGTTATGATACTTGCTATCTTGTTTTGCACTTTTAACATTTTGAAACAATATTATTCATGTATAAATCATTATATAATTAACATGGTTTTAGCGTACTAAAGTCAGTGGGACACAAAGATTTTGAACCATAGCACTATCACATTTTCAAAAAAGTAGCGAGGAATATTACATTTGAAAACTTACGTCCAAAAATAATCAATATAGTGAAATAATTGATTTTTTTTTTTTAAAAGATGAGTTAGACGTCTCTTTGTAAGACATGCATTTGGCGCACCTTTAACTATTTTCAATGTCTGCTTAGACAATCGATATGTCTATAATATAGTTCTCGAAATGAGGTTCGAAATGATGTAAGCAATTTGTGGATTCGACTAGCGTATGATCGTCGAGGAATTTTTAAAATTAGCATGTTATCGAAATTCTCGAAATACTAATTTGAAACGACCTATTTTGACACGCCGTAACATTTGCTACGACTGGGCGTTTCACGTGCCATTAATAACGTAGAAAATTAGGTCGTGAGCATTTTGAAATGATATTAGGAACGCAATATTTTAACTACGTTTGACATCCATAA